ATTATTAGAAATAATGATTTAAATTGTATTTGACCTCCTGACCTACAGGTTTCTATAGCTGCCTTCTTATCCCCTAAGCCTGTTCAGTATTTCCTTTTGTAGTCCCCCACTTAAAAAGAGTTTATCTGTGACAATTATTCATGCTTAGGTATCACGACTTCTGGCATGTCGTGAGAATAAATGACAAATGAAATCAATGTTATGTTCTGGTACTAACAAAGAAAAAAAAAAAGAAAATAAAAAGGAAATAATGCATTATACACCAGTCAGGCAACGCAGACAGGGTTATCCTGTGTCAAAAATGGAACACACTGATCTGATGAAAAGGATCACATTTAATGTGTTACCTCCTGAACAGAAATCTAATGACTATTACCAGTACTTTTATCAAATTTGTTCCCCATCACTGATATCTGATAAGCAAGTTAAAACAAGAAGCAAGGCACTGACAAATATTAAGCAGCTAAACAGAAAGCAGACAGAAATATGAATGAACACAGGTATATACAAAGCAGTAGAGCTGTTTTCAGAACTAGACTGAGACTTACCATGAGCTTTGATGTCTAAGAAACTGCCAAATTTCTCTTGCCACAGACCTAGATCCTCTTGTTTCTCCTGCATGAACAGAAACAGCTAAGCCTAGCAACTGCAACTGCTCACACCGTGTATTTCTAAGAAAAATATGTTTATTCACGTCAGATTTGTGCATTGTTAACTGCTTTTTTGCCAAATATGGTTAATATAAATAATACACTGAAAAACTTATGTGCTAGTGGAGCACACATGCACTTTGGTACAGCATAAAAGTAATACCTGAGGTCTTGGATAGAATCATAGAATTATAGAATAGCCCACGTTGGAAGGGACCTCAAAAGATTATCTGGTTCAACTTTTTGTGGGAAAGGGAGCCTAGATGAGATTATCTAGCACTCTGTCCAATTGCATCTGGAAAACCTCCAGTGATGGGGACTCTACTGTGTCCCTGGGGAGGTTGCTCCAGTGAACAATTGTTCTCACTGTAAAAAATGCCTTTCTTCTGGATGTTGAACATTATTATGAAATGCAAAGATTGCATGGATGGAACCAAACAGAAAAGCCTATGCAAACAGAAACCAACCCACTCCCCTAAACAGTAAGGGTCAGACAACAAAAAAATTCTCCAGACTCTCCGGAGTCCTGTGTACGTAACTGATACTTTCAGCTGCCCTCAAATTTTGAGCCCTGTGCCCTGCCATTCATTGTCCTAGAATTGCCACTTTTTGTAGCATCTTTCCTGGTTTCATTTTCTACATTCATCCCAGAATAAGCAGACGTGGCCTCTTGCAGCTGTGTGGCTCCCTCAAAGCAAGCATGCTCCCTGGCAGAACCTGGAGTTCAGATACAAGTATGCTGAAGGCAGCACAGCTCCTGCCATTTATAACAGGATGGTGGAGTGAGCAGCCATCTGCTCCTACAGGAGGCTAAAATTATATCATGGACATAACTCAGCCTCCTGAGAAAACTGGTACGTGCCTTTTTGCACTGCCAGGACCTGGTCTTTTTTCAGAGAGAATCTTACTTCTGTATTAAGCATGAATGTATGTGGAGGCATATTTTTCGACTGCTATAAAACGGGTTTTGTTCTTTTGAAATTCTCTGCAATGATCAAGGAATTTGAAAATTACCAAATATCACCACAAAACTCCCTTTTACACATCTGTTCCAAACCAAATGAGAGAACAAAAGAGAAAGAAATTCTAAATAAAAAGGCCACAGGGGGGAAAAAAAAAAAAAAAAAAAGAGATAGATCTACCTGACTGGTGCCTTCTACAGCCCTGGTAAAACACATAAATGTTTACTCCACTATGAATTTGAAAAATATCTCAATATGAAATACCAGGTCCTTTTTGAATTTCACTGGTAAGTGGTTAGATTGTTTGCAAACATTGTACTGGAAGAAATAATGAACCTGTGATTCTCATTAATCAATTCTCTTTTCTACAAAATATTCATGCTGGAATTGGAGTAAGCATGGGTTACCTTAGAGGAATCACTTGCTGCCTCCTCCTTCTTTTCTGCTGTAGGTTTTCTAGTGAAAACAAATACATAGAAATAACCAGTTTATTGTTAACGGAAGGAAGGAAGGATTTCAAACAGAAAATTAATATAGAATTATGCATTGTCTTACACATATTACATAAGAGTTTTGGTGCTTGACTATTCTGAAAATTGATGTCATAGTTGAGAGCTGTAACTGGCACATCATTTTAATATTCAATGTCTTAAAATAACTTTCACTCCATACTTGAGTTAGGTTGACTTCTTGGCCTTTCACATTTATTTCTATCTGCGTCAGCATTTTACCCACCTAGAAGATCCTCACTTCTTTGTTATTCTTTGTTAAGGGCTCTCTGTTAACTACAATTTTTGAAATAATGCTCTCTAGGAGAGATGCTTGCTATGCTCTTTTTCTAGTCATGACATGTCCTGCACTGTGGTTTCTCACCCTTTCAGCATTTTTGCAGTGGGATTGACCTGTAAAATCTTGCAGCTTTGTGGCACATTGTAAGTTGAAGCAAACTTACTTCAAGAGCTTATATGGTGAATAAAACTTAGACCTAAGCTTAGTCATAAAAGGAGATGAAACTAATAACCTCATCATACTACCATCACTCATTCCCAAAAAAAGACAAGGGGCACCAGGATACTTTAGTGGTGTACAGAACTGGTCATTAAACGAGGTTATCATTTTGCAGATGGCTGCTGCAAAGGATTAAAACTGTCTGCAGTTAACTGATCTAGAATTTCTTTGTTAAAACTTCACCATTGTACTAACTGGTAGGAAGTAAAACAGATTTCAATGCATAAGAGCTTCTATCACAGAAATTGCAATTCCATAGAATTGTTTATCTTCAGCTGCAGCACAATCAGTGCATGCTACGACGCGATAGACAGATACTGTACCTATCGCTGGGAGGTGGCTGTAGGTGCTCAAAATATAACAACCCATTGGAATTCATGCTCAGAACAGTCTCACCCTTGGACTGTAGCTCAACCTGGAAGGGGTTTGCTGTGACTTGAAGTTTGTAGTCCTCATTAACACTTGACAGCACCAAAATACCTGCATCCTTCTGGGATATAGAGAGTCTGGCAAATGAAAAGCAACAGCTTCATGTGAATAAGCAGCATGAGAAATGCACTGTAACTAAATAATGACTTGAAACAAAAGGTGGGCTGAGAATATCTGCACACATTACAAAAACCTCAAGGATAACACTGAGGCAAAGAACCCCAGAAATACGTGTTGTGTTCAGAGTTCACTGCACGGTGTAAGAGGTGGCTACAGAACAACCACAAACAGCCTTTCACGTTAACAGGTAATGCCATAGGTAAAAACGATGCGTCATAACAAGTAGGCTACTTTCTGATTGTGTCAAATGGCCTCAAGTTTCTTTGTGTATGACAAAACTTTCTTCTATGTATTTAACAAGAATTTTTTAAAGTAAAATTAACTACATGCATTTTTATTTTCTCTTCCTGTAACAACTCTGTATTGTAGAGACAACTGTAGTGTAGTGCAAATGAGGGAGAAGAGGAAACACTCTTGCAAATGAGCTGGATAACTTAATAAGGTGCTAAATCATCTTCCCATCACTTACCTCTGGGTGGTAGGTTCTTGTACAAGAACATCAGGAACTTTGTATCTTGCTCTGAGAGGAGCTGCTTCATCAATTTTAAGCCTGAAAATATTGCCTTCTATTTCACACATTTCTACTTGTAGAAGAACCTGGGAGTAAATAAACAGATAAACTGGTAGTGATAAAAAATATCAACTTACTTTCCAGCTCAACATCACCAAACACTTACTGTGTGGAAAAAAAAAGGTGCCTGCTTTCTGATTTAATGTTCTTCAGCGTTGCTGAGCAACAATCACCATCCATCTGAATTTACACTAGCTAACTCTACTTCTCCCCTTTGAAGAAACAACTCTTTTTAAGCGGATTCTTTATCTTCAAGTCTCTCACGTCTAGCATTGTGCAGCTCTCTCCACTGGCAGCATGGAAGACAGGGGTAGTGTACACTAATCTCACAGTTTGGACAATTTCACTACTGGGCTGTCAATGTAAGAGTGGGATACTACTGAGATGTGGGCTTTTTGCAAAAATGTCACTGCTCTGTGTTCACTCGAATTCACAGTGGTGCTGACGCTGATGAACTGTATCAGAAAGACACCTAGAGAAAATTCGTAACACCAGCCTACCCACTGTACCTTGCTATTTTACAGTTCAGGGAACTGGGAAGTCACTTTGTTCCAGTTCATACAAAATGACTCATTTTGCTTCCATGGAGGATCCCTATGCCACAAATCAGTTTTTTTTTTTCCTGGTTTTTCCTTTCTTAATATTTCCTCCCATGAGACATGAATCCTGCTGCAGAATTTTGGCCTGATATCTTTTCCCTCTACCTGGAAGCCAGTCAGCCCCACTCTCTCCAAAGGCATGAAAGAATGAAAGAGCCGTAAGACCAGAGGGAGTGTAGGCAGGAGAGAAAAGATCCATTTGGAGTTCCAGATCAGTCTTCCTAGGAAATATTTTACATTATGCCATCTTTGTATAAACTCCCAGATAGTCTAGGAAGCCACAGAGCCTTCAGTCTTTTATCTGTCTTAAAATTTAGACTAAAAATAGGCTCCTTTTTCTGTGCTGACTGCAGAGAAGGTCAGGATTAACACAAGAGGCAGAAAATACATTTATTCAGAGTATCAACATAACATGATGCTTAGAGCATGGAAGAGAGCTGTAGTTCCAAACTCTCATAATCTGAGGACAGGTTAGGTTGCTTGTTTCCTGGGTGAATGTGCTAGTTGCTGCACTGTTAAATTAAGAGAAATAGAAGACACCCCTCTTCCTGGCTGTCTTCTTAAATGTGAATCCTTTGATGGGTGAGGAAGACTTCTTTTTCCCAAAAAACTGCTTTTGAGCAGAGGAATATAAAAGTATGGTTAGGAGGTGCTGGAACATGGGTCTTATTGCATTGCAGAAAAATAATTGATTACTTTGGAACAGTACAGAAAGCTCTGAATTAAAACCTTTATTTTTTTCAGATGAACAGAGTTCTATTCAAATTTTCAAAAAGTTGTTACAGATTTTTTTACAGTTCCGTAAAATATCTGTTCTCCTTGCACAGTCAAGTTGTCAAATAAATACTGACCGGGAAAGACGTCTTTAGGCTCATACTTTGTATCATATCTTAAGTATCTGTCACCGGTGAATCTCAAAACCTTCTGCAAATATCACTTGTTGACAATATTCACTGCTCTGTCTGTAAGCACCCTCTTAGGCTAGGTGGGATCTCACCTTATTCTCTTCATGAATAATTTGGAATTTGACACTCTCATCACTTAACGTGACTGAATCCAACAATGCTCGATACAAGGATTTTCCAGGATGTAGAAGCTTCTGACGCCTGTCAAGACAGAAAATTATTTTTGGTTTCCCTAATCATTGTGGCTTCTATCATACAGAGGAACATAATATTGTTAGAAATCTTTATTTAATAATGTTCTCTTGATTTTTTTCAAACACAATTATTATCAGCACTTCAAGTCAAGGGGAAAAAGAAGGAATATAGTTCCTGACCACACATACATGTTTATGAATGAGATGTTAAATAGAGAGGTTTGGTCACCCATCACCACCCTCCGGGGTTTTTTTAAACAATAATAGTCTTAATTCAAGCATCCAATTAAATTCTCAGTTGTCCAGTTACATTCTTCTTCCTTCTATGACCCCAGAAATTTCAGCTGAATAATCTGTTTTTAATTTTGTCAGATACCACTGCTTGGCCTACAGTCCCCCAGTGAACAGGTTCTACATTCTGTGGTGATGAAGCAGTACACGTCTGTAATTTGTAACCTCCTAAATACATACTGAGGAAATTGTTTTTCAAGGGACGCTCCTGACCCTGCTGACTACAGAGTTTTGACTACAGCTTTTGGCCCTGATGATGTTTTTAGGACAGCGACCCTGAAACAGAGACTCTTACAACTGCTTGTAGAATGGTCCTTGCTTAGCCCACGTTTTATGAACTGTTTGAAGATAAGTGTCTTGGAGGCTCCCTTAAAGGGAAACTTCTCCATTAGTCAACTGACTTTGTTTCCTTGCAAACAGATATTGCAGAAATGTGAGCAATCAGATAAAGGATTTATTTTAAAAGCATAGCACAGACAGGATCTGATGCTTGTCAATGTGTGGCAACCTCCTGCCGAGAAATTAGATGTGTTAGGTTAAAATGGCGACAGGCTAGAAAGGGCTGGTGTGAAAACAGGAAGGAGTCCTGCTCCCACATGCAAAATGTTATTTGGGGTTTTCTGAACACAATTTCCTGCAGAACAGAAATGAATCTCTGAAACTGTAACCTAGTACATCAGTGACTAATTGCCATAACACTGGGCAATCATTCCTTTTACCCTGGCAGCATGGGATAAAAGACAATGGAGGGTAGGAGGAAAAAAATGGTGAGGGAGAGGTATCTCAGAAATGGGATGAGAAGGATCACTTAGTTTAAGATTAGCTTCAAGAGAGTAATGAGCTAGAATTAAGATTTGATGCTGAATTCTGGCCAAGGTACTTATTCAACAGGACTGTAAGTGTGTATGCTACTGTCACAGACTAATGGTTTCTATTGAGAATTCTGTTGTTTTGAACTACGGATATTCAAGAAACAGCCACACCAAGAAAAAAACCTGCATCTGTGTACCTATAGTTAAAATATTGCTGGGGCTTTCTCAGATGAGAAGACTGTTTTGAATTTGAGGTTTTGGATGTAAGATGCAACCCTTTAAAATATGCTGATTATTTTTTTGCTGACGGGTGAGTGCAACACTCACTTTCCAAGATAAATCCTGAAAGTAGCATTCTTGATGTGATTAAAAAAATCAATGTGTAACTACTTCCTGTATCTTTTAATATTACCAGTTTTTTTTTTTTTTTTTTAAAAGTACACAACACAATTCTTCTCTTTACCTGTAAAAAGCAATCTGGTTGCATTCCTTAAAGGTGCTTTTGTCCACAGCCTCATCTTGGACACTAGAAAGAGCAGATAAGGACAACGTTTAAATGTGTTCAGCAAAACTGCTGAACGATCAGATGATGGGGCTCCTCCTCAAGAGGGGTAAGCATTAAAGAGTGTAGACAACCGCAGTGACATAAAACCTGTCAGACTTTGAACTACTGCGTTTGGATATGAGAGGAATTTCTTACACATTTAGTTCAATGGCAAACCATTTCATTTTTAACTTTGATAATTTTGGCAAACAATCTGTGACTAATGGGGCTGAATTTCAGCACAAGTGAATTACTGGGGCTTTGCATTTTGCAGCCAGATCTCTCTCTGCAGTCCTTACGGTTGAATATTATGTTCCAGTGATAAGAATGGAGAGTGGCAGGATGGGCAGGGA